CGGGGTGTCTACAGTTGCCCGTCTTTGGCACTCCATGTCCTTCGAAGGACAGGAGAGTGGCAAAGAAGTAGACACGCTGTCGTTCCATGTCTTTCGAGGGGCAGGCGAACGCGCACTCCCTTTCCTTCGAGGGCCAGGTGAGTAGCAACAGTAGACTCTCTGACACTCCCAATCCTTCGAGGGACAGGAGAATGTCAAAGATAAATGTCATCCCGACGTCACATGGACAGATGGCACACCATCTCTTCAAGCCCATGCTCACCCACCTAAGACATTTTCATCGAGGGCTTTCGTCGTGAGGTGTTGGCAAGTTACGTAGGCCTGAAACTAGAGGTGGATTTTACAACCATGCCACTTGACCTCAGGGTTTTCTCAGTTTGAAAATTTTAATCCTGGTAATTTCTTTGATTTCCTTAGGGGTTTCCTAAGGTTGTCTATAGGAAAAGGCTTTCTATAGGACGAAACTTGTCTGATCAATTCTGAATAGAGAGGCGAGGCAGCAACGCAGTGTTCATCATATACAGGTGTCCAAGCTCCTTCGTTTTTACAAGTCTTTTTAGAAATTTTTGAATTTAGGAAGGGATTTGAAACAAAACCCGGAGCAGGGGCAAGCTACGATTTTAACAAAAAACTTAAAGCTTTTGAAAACACGAGACATATGGTGAAATTTTTGAAAAGGGAGAGATATTTCTAAAAGAATTGTTGGTTAGCAATTTCAAGTCCTGCAACCATAGAGCCTTCTAAGCAATTTAGCGTCACGCAGCGATGGACGATACACCCGATCTTTTACGTCATACGGGAATAGACTGTACCTGTCTCAGCACTTTTACGTCGCACGAGGATAACCAGACCTTTTACGTCATACGAGCTAGACGTTACTTGTCTCGGCTCTTTTACGTCGCTCAAGCTTGACGTTAAACTGGATGACTTGACCTTTTACATCATATGGGGCTAGACGTATTAGCTCTACTTTTTAACGTCGCATGAGTTTGACGTATTAGCTCAATTTTTTTAATGTCGCACGAGTTTGACATGCTAGCTTGGGTTTTAAACATCGCACGAGTTTGACGATCTGAATCCTGGTTGGTAGTTTAGGCTCATGCCACCGTGGAGCAAAATATTTTTCTGAAACTGGTTGGCAGTTTAAACTCATGCCACCGAGGAGCAAAAGATTTTGAAGCTGGATGGCAATTTAGGTTCATGCCACCGAGGAGCAAAAGATTTGGAATTGCTTGGCAGTTTAAGTTCATGCCACTCAGAAGCACAAGATTTTGATATCAGTTGGCAGTTTAGGCTCATGCCACCAAGGAGCATATGGAATTTTTTTGAATTTTTTTTTTTATTTGGAAAGATTGGTTGGCAATTTAGGCTCATGCCACTAGGGAGCCTTTGAAACTTTTGAAAAAAAAAAAAAAACAATCTTTCAAAATGTATTTTTAAAACCCAAAATTGACCCGAGTGGCTTGAATCTCGAGCGAGGGGCATTTTCGTCCAAAATGTTTTTTTTTTTTTAAACCCCTAAAATTGACCCCAAGTGCTCAAATCTTGAGCGAGGGCCAGGTTTGTCCAAAAAAAACTTGGGCGACATAGGTGGTGCTGCCCAGGTCTGGGCGACACCCACAAAACAAACCTTTTTTTTTTCGTTTTGTAGCTCGGCTAGGGTGGGCAACACAGGCTATGTCGCCCAGGTGACACAAGGGGTGTTGCCCATAAAAAAAATATTTTTTTTTTTTTTTGAGTTGCTCTGGTTGTGGGGTGAAAAACAAAAATTAGTTGGGCGACACTAGTCGTGTTGCCTATAAAAACCTCTTCTTTTTTTTTTGAAAGGTGGGTGAAAATGGGTTGGGCGACACAGGTAGTGTCGCCCACCAAATTTTTCGTTTTTTTTTTTGTTTTTTTTTTCTCATAAGGGTATAAAGAGGGTTGGGCGACACGATAACGTTTCTTTTATTTTTTTTGAAAAACAAAAAATCATAGGCAACATAGCAAAATTTTTCTATTTATTTTATTTTTTATAAGTTCCCATGGTGAGGTGAAAATGGGTTGGGTGACACGGGTAGTGTCGCTCACCAAAAACTAATTATTATTATATTTTTTTTTATTAGTTGTCCCGGTTGTGGGGTGACAAACAAAAATTAGTTGGGCGACACCGGTAATGTCGCCCGTCCTTTTTTCTTTTCTTTTTTTCTTTTGAAATGTGGGTGAAATGGGTTGGGCGACACGGGTAGTGTCGCCCACCAAAAACTAACCTTTTTTTTTGCTTACCTCAATTTATGGGGAATAATAATAATAATAATAATAATTGGGCGACACAGGTCTTGTCGCCCATTCAAAACCCTTTTTTTTTATATATATATATGTATATATATATGAGGGGTGGGCGTCGCCCGAACGACGCAGCTAGCGTCGCTCAGCTCATAAGTCCTTCGAAAAAAACGTGCCCCCTTTTGTTACCCCCCCTTTCGGTCTCATCTCTTCCTTCACCCCCCTTCGTTTCCTTGTGAGACCCCTCCCCTCCTTTTTGAACTTAATGTTGCACCCTCTCTCTCTCTCTCTAAAAATTGTGTTTGAAGCAAACCATTCCCCACATTTCAAAGACAACTTCCCCTTCATCTTTTGGTGTCTCTCTCTTGAATTGGGTCGGAGCCATTTTCAACCCCACATTCCACACCTTCGCACTCCTTCCCCCTTCACCAAACTCCTTCTGAAACCCACAATCTAATCTTGATTACTTCCATATGGTGAGGATGGAGGGCAATGGCTGCCAATGGACACTTGGATCATGCCACATCTCTAAATCGAAAGGGCAAGAAAAGGTACCAGTTTCAAATGAAAGTGTGATTTTGGTGGGGTTAAATTGTGTGATTTTCTTATCCGAATTTTAAAAATTTGTTTTGAATCACACGATTTACTCAAAAAGCCTTGTTTGTCATGTTCTAGTTTTTGGTAGAAAGTTTGTTCAATGTCATTTTCTTTGCTTCAGAGTGTGCTTGGACAGGACCATGAGATGTCTGTTGAAATGCCTTAATACTAATTGAGATTGTCCTCCCTTATGTGTTTTGGAAGATAGCATACCCTTGATTTCGGCTTAGTAAAAATGATGCTCTCTTTGTACAAAATTTGGAAAACCCATTTGAATCATATAACTCGCTAAGGATACTTCGATTGTTGTGTTCTTGTTTTGGTAGAAGACCCATTTTGATACCATTTTTTTAACCTTAAAGAACGCTCGAACGTGACCTCGATATGCTTGTTGAAATACCTTAGTGAAAATTTGGATGAACTTCTTCTTGGGTGGCTTTGAAAGTAGCATGTCATTAATTTTGACCCGATAAAAATGAAGGTATACTTTTTTAAGATAATTGTGAATTATCAGTACCGATCCTATCTCTAGGGATGGGGAAGTGACCACCATACGTTCTGGATGTAAAATGACCAAAATGCCCCTAAATACAAAATGACCAAAATATCCTTGAGAACGATTTCTTCTTTTCGAAGATAATCGTGAGTGATGAGTATTGCCCCATATTATCGGGGATGACAAAAATGTCCGAAATGCCTTCTAGAGGTAAAATGACCAAAATGCCTGAAAGTAAAAAATGACCAAAATACCCTTGAGTGCGATTTCTTCCTTTCGAAGATAATCGTGAGTTACTAGTACTGCCCCATATTACTGGGGATGACAAAAATGACCGGAATGCCTCTGGGAGGTAAAATGACCAAAATATCCCTAAGTATAAAATGACCAAAATACCCTTAAGTGTGATTTCTTCCTTTCAAAGATAATTGTGAGTAACTAGTACTGCCCCATATTACTGGGGATGACAAAAATGACCGGAATGCCTTTGGGAGGTAAAATGACCAAAATGCCCTTGAGTGCAAAATGACCAAAACCCATGCTCCTGCTCTTTTTTTTTTTTAATTATTATCATTATTACTATATATTGATGACTTCTCTCTACCATTTCTCCCTTCTCTTTTTTTTTCATCATTCATTTTTTTTCTCCTTTTTTTTTGTTTTTTACGGGGCTTCTATGTGGACTGTAGATGCCACCTATTCACCATGCGCAAATGGGCGGAGTTACTAACTCCGGACAAAGACAAGCATTGGCCAGGATAGGTCTGTGGGAGGTTTGCAGGATTAGACCTTTCAGTTTCGATTGCACCTTAATCACAGAGTTGTGCCTTCGTATAGGCCAGAGACGAGTTTGATTCCCCTACGTCGTGGTGAGATCACTCTTACTCTTGAGGATGTTACCCGGATTCTCGGGGTTCGGAGTGAGGGCGAGCCCTTTTTGAGTATTCCTCCGAAGTCGTGTGTTAGCTATGCCTCTGCGTGTACGGAGCTCCTAGGTATCCCTTACGAGAGGATCCGAGGCAAGCATGAGTCGGACATCCATCTAGGGAAGCTGTGATGGGAAGTCACCCGCATCCCTTATCGTGCGGAGAGGAGGACGGGTGGTCGGGCTCCTCATATTTCGATTTCCGCAGTTAGCAGACTACCCCGTAAAGGGAAGGACCCGGTGGAAGAAGCTAGTGAGTCGAGGGCCCCTGGAGTGCGTGGGTCGGTTCAGGGTGAATCTAGCCATCCTTTGACCAGAGCGACCACCCGAGCCTTGGCAGAGTCAGGGGACCCAGAGGGAATTAGGTTCGAAGACGACGCGTCTTCAGATGAGGATACAGTTTCTTCTTCAGTGTTACTTTCTGATGAGGAGAGGCGGGAGCGAGAGAGTGAGACGATTCGAGATGCTTATGAGCGGGCCATGATCATGAGTGAGCCGGAGGTGTTCCGTTAGAAGGTTGATTTGACCGTCGATCACATGCCACTTTCAGATGGCGAGAGACGCTCTTTGCAGGCTTTTTTGGCATACTTATTCAAGGAGTTTCTGTTTCCCGATTGATCTAAGGGCCGAGCTCATCTTTCGGTGGTTTGGGTGGTCAGAGATTTGGATTACTTAGAGTGAGTGGCCTGGGGTCCGGCGATTGTGGGTTGGTTACATCATCATCTCTGTGGTGTCACCAAGGGAGCTCGCTATTTAGGTGGATGGTCCATTCTTCTCCAGGTTTGGGCGTGGAAGCATATCACCATCCCTCGCCCTCTTCCAGGCCGACTAGCACCATCATTTTCGACCATTCATCGCTAGTCATATGAAGTGTGGGAGACTAAGGAGGTTTTCTCGAGATTGTATTATTCATTTTTCCTGGACACCCAAGCCGCCGGAGAGGTAAGTCACGAGCCTCTCTTTCATTTTCCTTACTTTCTTTTTCTTTGTTTTTTTTTTCTTTTTTTCTTTTTTTTTTTCTTTTTTTTTTCCTTTTAGAATTATACATCTCATTCTTTAAATTGACTTCCCTTCTTTGATTTCCCAGATTGACTGGACTCCGATGAGCATTGACCCTGTCCCACTGGTTTATGTTGCATCTTCTCGAACTTTCAGGACGACGACCCATTTGATCTGTATGTTCTTGGTGATGCCGTACTTTCTAGGTCGGGTGCATCGTCAGTTTGGCCTTCCTCAATCTTCTTTCGATATTACGCCATCTTGGACTCCCATATGGTTAGCACTGCTGATGGGATTCATATATGAGGGAGATGATCCCTTGGATAGCGGAGTGGAGGGACAGGGCTGCACATGTTATTGGTGAGCAGAGGAAGGGAGCATCCCTTTGTCTTTATATGAGAAGTACAAGGTTGTTTTGAGGGATGTGGCTGCCCTGAACGAACATGGTGAGGGGGTGATGCGGGAGCAGAGGACTGCTTATCTTGATGAGGGTCGATCATCTACTGATGAAGTCGCTTCCCTTCATGCTGAGCGTGATTCAGCAGTCGAGGAGCCGGATTCGATAGCAGAGGATTTCGAGCATCTACGTCAGAATTTTGATAGGATGGTGGCGGACTCCCTGAGGGATAATATGGAGAGAGTACGATCAATACCATCCTTCTCTTTTGTTGCTCTTACTCTTCTTGGACCATCTCTCGACCGCATTAGAGCTTTAGAGAGATGCGTAGATCGCTACCGATCGGAGAGGGTATGCTTTGCTGTTATTTCTTTCTTTCTTTCTTTCTTTTTCTTTTTTTCATGTCTATAAATATATCACAACCTCTCTCATTTCATGTTGTTCTTTCAACACAATTCGGCCAGAGATGAATGTCAGGAGCTTAAGGAGGACGTGAAGGATCTTATGGACAGGTGTGGCAGACTGTCAGGACTCCTATTGGCTGCAGGTGGCAACCCTTCTTTAGCATATATGAATCCTTATGTGAGGGTGTCATTACCATCTTTTGTTCGGAGTCAGTCACGGTCTTGAGTGTCTACTCAGATGACAAGGGGTCCAAGGCAGGTTCAACCGAGATTGGAGGGAGAGGCGAGCAATCGTCCAGCAGGGGTCGAGGAGGATTCAGTATCAAAGAAGTGACCTTCATCTCTTTTTTTTTTCTTTTTTTCTTTTTTTAAAATAGGAGATCATTATGGACCCTGAAGTACATATAAATATATGGCTCTCTCCTTTCTCGTTTTCCTTGCCTGTTCCCATGCTTTCCCCCCTCTTTTTTTTTCTTTATTGCCCTTGTTTGGGGGTCTTTTAACTTGTGCATGTGTTATTGATTCGTCGAAGCATAGCGGAGTACTTTCTTTGCGTACACTTTTCAAACTGAATTTTTACAAACTCAGTCCCCTAGTTGTAGGGTCTTTTATCTCAAATTTTCCGTTATTGGGTCATCATACGAACACACATGGATGAGCTAGCCTCATTTTGCCTCAAGAGATTCAGTTGAGAGAAAAATGCTCCCAAACTAGCCAATTTCATCATTGACAAGGTTCACTCATCTCTGATATGTGGTAGTTGGTAGTTACACTCCTACAATCATGAGTGCTTGATTAGTTTCAAGCCTTCATAACAGGCGTAGGAAGTTGGTTTCGATAACGAGGTCAGATTGACTAACAGTTTAGCCTCTGGTAGTGATGAAGTTCCTTATAAAAGGAAAAAGCTTCTGAAAATTGATGATTTTAACAATCAAAATTGAAACAGCATTTTTAAAAGGGATGGGCCTTACAGTTTTGCTACTTGTGGCCCCCTTGCTTGTGATTTTTTTTGTTATATTCAACCCAAAAATGATGAAAGGATTACCTTGCGGGATCGTGAGAACTCAAAAATCACGAAGTTGTCTTTTTACCTTTGGAGCTTTCATCATCTGCTTTGCGGATCCATGAAGAGTCCTCTGGATTCTTATCGGGCTTCCATCTTGGAGGGTCTTGACTTTTTCAGGGTTCATCGAAATCACTTCGGTTTTCCATTCATGTCACTCTCCTACATCTTTCTGAGTTGGTTCTGTTGGGAACCTGCAGGGTTTAGGAGGAATCTTCATCTTCAAGGTCTGCTTGTGCGGTATTATTGGAATTTCCAAGTACTTGTTTGTATTTGAGTGTTTTTCATCGAAAGCTCATTCTTAGAGATTTTATTCTCCTTGTGGTCGTGAGTTCGAGCCCCACGGTGGGCGCCAAACTGTTTACCGCGCAGAATAAAGCGATCTAACGATGTGGATCACCCTGATCTGATGCTTCAAAAAGGAAAAGATATGGTAGAGAAAGTGGGAACAATCAAATTCAGATCTGAGATCAGATCTGCCTGGAAACGAGCAGACCAGCTCTCAGTTCTGTGGCGGAGCCAGTGTGATCCGAAGCATTTCAAAACAAGATTTTCAATCAAAACAAATCAAAATCAGATCAAAACAAAATAAATAAAATAAAATAAAGAAGAAATGAAGGGAGAATGAGTACTTGACTCGACCGGATCGCCTGGGACTCCCGAACCCTTGAGGGCTCGCCCATATCAGAACCGGTTCCTCTTTGCCCTTTTGATTCAGGTGTTGATCATTACCAAGTCTCTGAAATATTGGGATGGTTGTACCCTAATTTCGGACCTAGGGTGAGTTTAGATTTGAGATGCAGAGCAGGGTAAAGGTTCTCTTTGTATCTCTCAGGTTTATCTTTCCAGCCTAAAGTTTCTAAAGTCTCTAAGAGTTTTTGTTTTCACCCTCAAATGACCACCGAGATAGTTTTTATTAACGAGGGATTTGTTGGGGCAGTGTTATCCCCGCAACCAACAAATTCTCGGTCAACACCATTCGAATTAAAAAAAAATGAATTTTGGGAGGTATGTGTAGCTTTCCCCGGGCCCACTCCCAAGATAAATGACCTAAAAAGTAGGGGAACGCTTGAGGATGCGTAAAAATGCATTTCAGTGAAAATGCGTCTGGGACCTGAGCGATACAGCCTATGTCGCCCAGGTGACACACCTAGTGTCACCTAGATCAAAACACCTCTGATTTGAAAACTTATTTTTCACACATGTTCTTGAGCCTGTATTGAAGGTCCCAGAAAAAATATGGATCAAAATAAATTTCTTACTATTTTTATTTATTTATTCCGTAAAACAGCGTGTTTTCAGGGTTTTGAGTCAAAATAGGGTGTAACAGGGTTTTTGGGCTGGCAG